CATAAAAAAGAAACTCTACCACCATTAGCAGTCATTTGCCATTTCTCCTCACCACATCATCTATCTTCTCATCTCACAAACTTCTGCTCCCAGGCAGTCACTTATGTGCTTTCTGTCTTTATATTTATGCATTTTTGGGACAATGTTGTAAAATATTTCTCTTATCTGACTGTAATCATGTATTCTTTGACCAACATCTTTCCTCCCCTCTAACCACCTATATCTGGTAACCACCATTCTAGTTTCTATTTCTGCGAGATTGACATTTTTAGATTCCACATATGACTGAGATGACATCGTATGTGGCGTTCTCTGTCTGGTTTATTTTACTTAAAATAATGTTCTACAGGTTAATCCACGTTATTGCAAATGACAAGATTTATTCTTTTTAATGGCCGAATAGTATTCCATTGTATTTGTATACCACGTTTGCTTTATCCATTCATCTGTAAATAGATATTTAGTGGATTCCATATCTTGGCTATTGTGAAAAGTGCTGCAGAAAACAAGAGGGTATGGAGATCACTTTGACATACTGATTTTGCTTTCTTTAGATATATGCCCAGTAGTAGGATTGCTGTATCATATGGTAGTTCTATTTAATATTTTCAGGAACCTCTATGCTGTTTTCCATAATGGCTGTTTTAATTTACATTTCCACCATTTCTTCATATCTTTACCAACATTTGTTACCTTTTATATTTTTGATGATAGCTTTTCTAGTAAGTGTTAGATTACAACTCACTGTGGTATTGATTTGCATTTTTCTGATAATTAATAATGTTGAGGATTTTTTCATATGCCTGTTGGCCATTGGTATGAAATGCCTATTCAGGTATTTGCCCATTTTTAAATTGAGTTATTTATTTTCTTGCTATTGAGTTGTTTGGTACTTTACAAATTTTAGATTTTTATCTACTGTCAGATGTAGCTTGGAATTATTTTTTCCCATTGTGTAGGCTGTGTCTTCACTTTGCTGATTGTTTCCTTTGCTCTGATTTGTTGTGATCTCATTTTTTCAATTTTTGATTTTGTAGACTTTCTTTTGTAGTAAATTCTAATAAATTATTGCCTAAGCCTATGTTATAAACCATTTCCCTTATGTTTTCTTCTAGTAGTTTTATATGTTCAGGACTCATATTTACATCTTTAATCCATTTTGAGTTGATTTTTATATATGGTCAGAGAGAAACATGCAGTTCATCTACATGTAGCTAGCCAGTTTTCCTAACACCAGTTATTGAAAAGATTGTCCTTTTCTTTTCTTAATGTGTGTTCTTGGCACTTTTGTCATAAGCCAGTTGGTGATAAATCTGTGGATTTATTTATGAGTTCTCTATTCTGTTCTATTGGTCTATGTGTCTGTTTTTATGCTAGTACCGTGCTGTCTTGGTTACTACAGCTTTATAGCATATTTTGAGGTCAGGTAGTGTGATGCTTTCAGCTTTGTTCTTTTGCTCAAGATTGCTTTATCTATTCAGAGTTTTTTGTGGTTCTGTATAAATGTTTTCCATTTTCTGTATGATCTTTTTCTTCATTTCATTTCTGTGAAAAATGTCATTAGCATTTTGATAGAGATTGCAGTTAATCTGTAGATACTGCTTTAAGTAGTACGAACATTTTTACGATATTGATTATTCTAGTTCATGAGCATATAATATCCCTGTTTATTTGTATCTTCAATTTTTCCACCAGTGTTTTATTGCTTTTATTGTAGACAACTTTCACTTCATCATTTAAAATTATTGTTAGTTATTTTATATTATTGTTGCTATCAAAATAGAATTTTCTTGATTTCTTTTTCAGAGAGTTTGTTATTAACATATAGAAACAATACTGATTTTTGTGTGTTGATTTTGTATCCCAGAACTGTAATGAATTTGTTTATTAGTTCTAATAGCTTTTAAGTGGAGTCTCTCAAGTTCTTTGTATAGAACATAAGTCATCTGCAAACAGCTACAGCTTAACTTCCTCCTATCTGATAGAGATGAATTTTATTTCTTCCTCTTGCCTAATTACTCTGGCAAGGACATCCAGTACAGTGTTCAGTAGAAGTAGTGAAAATGGACATTATTGTCTTGTTCCAGAGCTCAGAGGAAAAACTTTGAATTTTTCCTTGTTCACTGTGATGTTAGCTGCGTGTTTGTCATGTATAGCTTTTATTGTATTGAGGTACATTTCTTCTGTTCCTAATTTTTTTGAAGGTTTTTTATTATAAAGCCATGTTGAATTTTATAAAATGCTTTTTCTGAGGATTCTGTTGAAATGATCATATAGTTTTTGTCCATCATAATGTTAATGTTATGTATCATGTTTTTTGATCTGCGTATGTTGAATCATTCTTGGATTCAGGGATGCATCACATTTGATTATAGTGAATGATTTTCTCAATGTGCTGTTGAATTTGGTTTCCTAATATTTTGTTAGAATAATTTTTGGATTTATGGTCACCAGGGATATTGGCTTATAGTTTTCTTTTCGTCGTTGTTCCCCTGTCAGATTTAACTCTTTCATCTGATATCAATTTAGCTATAATCTACCTTTCTTTTGGCTAGTACTAGCATGGCATATCCTTTTCATCCTTTAAAGTCAAATATATTTGTGCTTTAGCAGTTAAATTTGGTTTTCTATATGTATCGTGCAGTTGGCTTTTGCCATTTATCTACCCTAGCAATCTTTGCTTTTTAATTGGGATCTTTATAATATTTATATTTAATGTTATTATTTATACATTTGGATATGATAATCTGGTATTCTATCTTCTATCAGGAGAATAACAGTCATAACTTCAGTGTGGAGGAGAAATTTAGAAGCAGTATTAGGAAAAAGCTTAGCTGCCATGCTGGTGATAACAGAACAAGACAGATCTTTGTTTATGTGTTTTGATTTAAATAAACTATTTTATTTTGTTATTTATTTCTTTTATTTTAATTTAGTTTCAGGAATATATCTGGAGATTTACTCTATAGACAAATTACATGTCTCATGGGTTTGGTGTACATACTATGTGTGTCACCAGGCAGAAAACATAGCACTCAATAGACATTTTTTTATCCCAACCCTCCTCCCACCCTCCACCCCATAATAGGCCTGGGTGTCTATTGTTCCCTTCTCTATGTCCATAAACTAGGCATTGAATAATAAGACCCATCTATGAAAAACTCACAGCCAATTAGATACTGAATGGGCAAAAGATGGAAGTATTTATCTTGAGAAGCATAAGCAAGGAGGCCCACTCTTACCACTCCTATTAAACATAGTATTGGAAGTCCTAGCCAGAGCAATTAGACAAGAGAAAGAATAAAAGGCATACAAATAGGAGGAAAGGAATTCACACTATCTCTGTTTGCCGATGACATAATTATATACCTAGAATACCCATAGTTTTAACCTAAAAGCTCCTAGATCTGACAAACGACTTCAGCAATATTTCTGGAGATGAAATCAGTGTATTAAATCAGTAGCATTTCTATACACCAATAGTGCCAAATCAAGTGTGGCCCATTAAAAATAGCCACACCAAAAAAAATAAATAAATACAAATATAAAAGATATAGGAATATAGCTAAGTAGACAGGTGAATGAAAGATCTCTACAACAAGAATGACAAAATACTTCTGAAAGAAATCAGAGATGACACAAACAAATGGATAAACACTCTATGATCACGGATAAGAAGAATCAATATTTTTAAAATGACCATATTCCCTAAAGCAATTTACAAATTCAATGCTGTTCATATAAAACTACCAATGACATCCTTTACAGAATTAGAAAAAACTATTCTAAAATTTGTAGAAACCAAAAAATGCCCAAATAGCCAGAGCAATCCTAAGAATAATAAAGAAAGCTGGAGGCACATTACCTGACTTCAAGCTATATTGCAAAGCTACACAAAACAAAATAGAATGATACTGTACAAAGCCAGACACAAAGACCAATGAAACATAATAGAGAACCCAGAAATAAAGCCACACACTTACCCCCCTCTGATCTTTAACAAAACTGGCAAAAACAAGTGTATTATTTCTGTCCTCACATTGCTATTAAAAAACACCTAAGACTGGATAATTTATATAGAAAAGGGGTTAAATTGGCTCACAATTCTGCAGGCTGTACAAAAAGCATAGCTTCTAGGGAGGCCTCAGGAAAGTCTGAATCATGGTGCAAGGCGAAGGGGAAGCTGGCACATTTTACATTGCTGGAGGAGGAAGAGGAAGAGAGAGAGGGTGGAGGTATTAGACATTTTTAAACAACTAGATCTCATAAGAACTCACTACTGCACAGCACCAAGGGGAGATCGTGCTACACCATTTATGAGAGCTCCGCCCCCATGATCAAATCACCTTCCTCCAGGCCCTATCTTCAACATTGGAGATTATAATTCCACATGGACTTTGGGTGGGGACATAGATCTAAACCGTATTGACCAACAATGGAGAAATAACTCCTCTATTCAATAAATTGTACTGGAAAAACTGGATAGCCGTGTGTAGAAGATTGAAGGTAGACCTCTTCCATATACCACATTAAAAAATCAACTCAAGATCAATTAAAGACTTAAAGGTAAAATCTAAAATGGTAAAAGACTCTTGAAGGAAACCTAGTAAGTGCCATTCTAGACATAGGCCCTGGCATAGCTTTTATTACAGAGAAGCCAAAGCAATTGCAGCAAAACCAAAAATTGGCTTGAGACCAAGAAATTGAGGCTGCAGTGAGTCAAAATCCTGACACTGCACTCCAGCCTGAGCGACAGAGCAAAACCTGACTCAAACAAAACAAAACAAAACAAAACAAAACAAGGTTGACAAATGGAATCTAATTAAACGGAAGAGTTTCTTTACAGCAAAAGAAACTATAAACAGAGTAAACAGACAATCCTCACAACGGGAGAAAATATTTGAAAACTCTGCATCTGACAAAAATCTAATATCCAGAATCTGTAAGAAACATAAATTAACAAGCAAAAAACAACCAACCCCACTAAAAATTGAGCAAAAGATAGGAAGAGACATTTATCAAAAGAAGATATACGCATGGAAAACAAGCATATGAAAAAGGGCTCAACATCACTAAATAATGAAGAAATGCAAATCAAAACCACAGTGAGAGACTATCTTACACAAATCAGAATGGCAACTATTAAAAAGTCGAAAAATAACATGCTGGAGATACTGTGTAGATAAGGCAATGTTTATACACTTCTGGTGGGAATTTAAATCATTTCAGCCACTGTGGAAAGCAGTTTGGTGATTTCTCAAAGAAAGTAAAAGCAAACTACCATTCAACCCTGCAATCTTATCAGTGGCTATATCCAAAGGAATTTAAATTGTTCTACCATAAAGGCACAGGCATGTATATGTTCATCACATGCAATTCACAGTAACAAAAATATGGAATCAACCTAAATGTCCACCCATGGTAGAGTGCATAAAGAAAATACGGTACACTATGGAATACTATACAACCATAAAAAGAATAAGATAATGTCCTTTGCAGCAATATAGATGGAGCTGGAGGTCAATTTCCTAAATGAACTAATGCAGAAACAGAAAACAAAACTCTGTATGTTCTCACTCTTAAGTGGCAGTAAACACTGAGTATACATAAATTATTTAAAATTTTCTTTTTGCTAGATTGTTTTCTAAATTTAGCTGAACTCAAAATTTTTCTTACTTCAAATACATCTTTGAAATACTCTTAGGCACATTCAATGAATAATAAGAATGCCAAAAATATAGAAAATAAACTTCACTATCTTTCCAAGTTAGAATATCTCAGAATTGTGCATAATATTTTTTGTACACTTTCTGGTCTGGTATAACACCATTGTTATTCTGCACATACTTTTCCATTTTCATATATAATTTATATTATGCACATTGTATTAGTAATGTACTCAGTATTAAAAATATCTTCGGATTCTATTTCATTTATAATGTGTGTGTTGCCTCTCTAATTGAGTGTGTAAATTGACACGCTGTTAAGTTCAAAGTATTATTTAATATAATTGCTATATATTTCATTAAATCAGCTTTCTGAATACATGATTACCAAGGGAAATATTATCTAGGCATTTAGAAAATTGGCAAAGATATTAAAAATTCAAAATTCAGTTCTTTCAATAGAATGAATTTTCTTAATTCATTTAATTTTAACAACAACGTCATTTCCAACTCTGATTTGAAGATGCAAATCAGGTATAGTTTAAATAACTTAGAGAAAAATGTAAAACATGAAGGATGAATTCTGGAACAATTTGTCACCTGCATTTCTCATCATCACTGTGCCTAATAAGATAGCCACAAAAAAACATATTTTTATGGATTATATGTATATAATAAAATGTAGGAAAAGGTTATATCATTATACAGAATATAAACCCGCACATACTCATCCTGAAATATATTAAGCATTATTTTTTTAGCACAACACTTATTTTGTTATAAAAACAAATATTCCTTGTGCTTACTTTGAGATTATTAAAATAGTTTATTTATTCTCTGATGGCCTGTTTTATTTTCACACTAATAGTCTTTTTACCTGCATTCTTGGATTTCCAAAATTCTTTAACTCTTTGCAATGACCCCTGCTTATTGGTAGATACATAGTTGCTGACTTCACTATTTTTGTTCTGACAGCCAAAGTATAAATCCTTTTGAGAACATTTGCTTTAAGAGGGAATAAAATCTTGTTCTTGGAATATGCTCTGTAGGTAAGATTCATGTTGTTCCTCTCTTTGATGACTTTTATAGTTGATGACATCTTTCAAGTTACCTCTTCTTTGAAGGTTAGCTTTTTTGAAAATATTCTTTACTTTCTGAAACATAACTCATTACTGGTTACTTCAGGTAAAATTGAAATTTTAAACTCTAACTATAATGGAAAACTTGTGTTTATTTGCTACTTTTGCCAGTATCTACAAGAGCACTTTTTCTGTGTCTTTAGTAAAATTTCTACAAGAAAATTCAAATTTCTGCACTGTTAGTCTTTAAAAATATGTTTTTTGTTTGTTTGTTTGTTAGTGTTCTAGGATATCTCAAATTTTTTACTTAAAATAGCACATGAAAAATTAGCTTTTTTTAAGTCTCTTCATAACCTAACTACAAAATGAGCAGTTCTGCCTTAGTCTTTTTGAAATCCAATTAATATTAATCTCATTATAATGTAAACTTCATTGGAAAATATTGTGTTACTTCAATTAGTAATATACCATTATCTTGGTCTACTCAATTATTTTTCCTTATATAGAGTTTATACTATTAAGTACATTATCTTTGCAATTGAGGTGACTTTCTTTCTTTATACCTCAATCTCTTCCCTTTTTACTATTACTGTAAAAATATTTATTTTTATAAGTTTGTTAGTCATCACATTCTTGATTATAAACCTCTGTAGTGTATTTATGTCACACATTGCATGTTTGAGACACCAAATCATTAATATCTTTCCTTCTAGCTTCTGTGAATGTGTGTTAAAAACTGATTGTTTAATAGAGCTAACCAAAAATTAAATGAACTTTTTTAATGTTTCTCTTCTCACAGTTATCAGGGTATTAATTTATGAAATGATTGTTTTTTCATTCCAAATGCATATATTGAGAGCTGTGACTGGAACTATGAAAACATAATATTGCTTTAACATAATTGACATTCTGAGCTTTGCTTTGAAGACACTCAAATCTCTCTTTGAAAACATCAGTGTCAGAACCATGGAATAATACCTATGTTGCTTGTGAAACTTTGGAAATTGATTTCTCCCTTTATATAACATATTTTCCATAGCTATTTCTTGTGTTTCAGTTTATTGGTTCATGTGTATGTTCAATTCCTAAAGATTATTATTCACATGCGGTAATAAAGTATATCTATCAATGAGAACATAACAAACAATATAATAAAATAAAAAGGCATCAGCGTACAAGGCAATTCAGTGAACTGGAAAAGAAAAGGGATTTCTGCGTATTCCAATCTCACTTTTAATCAGAAAAGTGCAGATGAAAACAAATGTCTGTAATGCATAGTTTCAACCTAATAATATCTCCAGAAGCTCAGACTTGTGCACCAAATGCTTATTAAAAACCAACCCTTGGATATCTCACAGGTATCCCATCAGATGTTCTACTAATTCTGCCTTAAAATAAAAAGTGTCAGTAACAGGGAATATCCACCTCCTTAAATCTACCTCTTTAAATCTCCACTGCCACTATCAGATTTTAAAAACTTTTATCTCTTACTTATATCATTGCCTCTAAGTCAGGTTCCCCAAATTTCATAGCACTATAACTGTTCTACTGTAGTTTTTGCACCACAATAATAAGTGTAGACTTTTATTTCTTAAGTTACATTTAGATAACATCAGTAGCACGATTAATGGCTAATCATGCTCTCCAGCTGCCTTCAAGGAAGGCATGCCACAAACACCTTACAACTGTTTCAGCTCCTCCATAATTTGCCTCTGCATCCCTCTGCAGGCACATATTATTTCCATTTTCAATCTCTTGAATGCCTGGCTTTCTATCTTCTAAACTTTCACACAATCTACTACTTCTGTTTAGAACACTCATCACTATCTACCTTTAACATTTCATTTGAACCATAATTTCTTCTGGGAGATTTTCACATTGTAGATCAGATCACAAACTATCTATTGCCTCCATTCATAGCATTTCTCTGAAGACAACACTCATTACACTTTCCTATAATGAGTATAAAAATATTTGAGTTTCATTTAAAAAGCATTATGAGGGATGAAGTAAGCAATACTCTTTTGCTCATAGCTGTACTCCCCACCAAACATCTATATTTTCTGATTCATAATATAAAAGCAGAGTATGGGGGCAAAGATGACCAATTAGAAGCAGCTGCAGTGCATGGCACTCACGGAGAAGAAAGAAAGGGGCAAGTGAATATAGCACCTTCAGCTGAAATATCCAGGTACTCACACTGGAAAAAATCAGGGAAACTACTCAACTCACAGTGAGCAAAGAAAAGCAAGGTGGGGCAATAGCCCACCAGGGAATAAAATGGAACCAAGGAAACCTCCAGCCCCAGTCAAGGGAAGTGGTGAGTGAATGTGTGACCTGGGGGAAAGCTATGCTTGTTTCAGCAGAGCAGCTACTTAGGCTTGCATAGAGACCCAGGAGCTTTATATACTCCCTTCCCAGGATCCCTGTCAAAGGTGACTATAACTTAGGCAAGGCAGGAGGTCCACATATACTCCTAGGAAAAGGACTGAATCCCGGGGGATGAGCTGTTTCAGTCTGTAGGCCTACTTCCACAGTGCCTCACAAAATAAGACCTACTGGCTTGGAATTTCAACCAATGACTGCAACAAGGTGGAGCCTGAATTATATGGGATAGAGCCCCTAAGGGGTAGGGGTGGGCCACTATTTGTTTATCTCAGTCATTCCAGCCTGCAGGCTTGAGAGAGTCCAAATAGTCTGGATGGGGAAGGGTCCCCACAGCACAGCAGAACTGCCTTGCCAGAATGTGGCCAGACTGCTTCTATAAGTGGTATCTTGATCCACTCCTCCTTACTGGATGGGTCCTCCCAGCCAGGCCTCCAGCCATCCCCATCCTTTCATATTCTATGAACAGAGCTTTGATTTCTCCCAGGGCCAGTGCCCGGGGATAGAGACAGGCATCCATCTTTGCTGTTTGAGCAACTTGACCACTCTATCTTGCAGGCTTTAGAGAGTCCAAACTGATGGAAAGCTGCAGGGATCCCCAACACAAAACAGCTGCTCTAACAAAACACAGCCAGGCTGCTTCTTGAAGCAGGTTCTGATCCCATTCCTTCTGAGTGGGAACTCCCAAATGGGGTCTCCTGCCACCTCCTACAGATGTGTTCCATGGGGCAACAGGTCAGTATCCCCCTTGGGAGAGAGCTTCCCGAGGAGGTGGCATGCTGCCATCTTCGCTGTTTCACAGCCTTCACTGGTGATATCTCCAAGTACTGAAAAAACCAAGGTGACTAGGGTTTGGAGTTGACTCCAGCAAAATGCAGCAGGCTTACAGAAAAGTGGCCAGACTTTTAAAAGAAAAACAAGCAAACAAACCAACAAACAAAAACAGCAACAAACACAAAAACTCCAAAGGTCAGAAACCTCAAGGATCAAAGGTAGATAAGCCCACAAAGTTGAGAAACAAATCAGTACAAAAATGTTAAAAACTCAAAAAGCCAGAGTGTCCCCTTTCCACTAAATGACCGCAAAGCCTCTCCAGCAATGGGCTGAGGCTAAGTTGGCTGAAATGACAGAAGTAAGCTTCAGAATGTGAATAACAATAAACTTTTCTAGGCTAAAGGAGTACACTGTAACCCAATGCAAGGAAGCTAAGAATCTCAATAAAACAAGGCAGAAGCTGACAGCCAAAATAGCCAGAATAGAGAGAAACAGAACCACCCAGATAGAGGCGAAAAGCACATTACAAAAATATCACAGTGCAATCACAAGTATTAATAGCAGAACTGACCAAGTGGAGGAAAGAATATCAGAGCTTAAAGACTGTCTTTACGAAATAACACAGGCAGACATGAATAGCAAAAGAATGAAAAGAACAAAACCTCTGAGAAATATGGGATTAGGAAGAGACCAAATCTATGACTGATTGGAGCACCTGAAAGAGACAAGGAGAATGGAACCAATTTGAGAAACATTATTTAGGATATCATCCAGAGAACCTCCTTAACCTAGCTAGACAAGCCAACATTTAAATTCAGGAAATGCAGAGAACACCAGTAAGATACTCCATAAGAAGATTATTCCCAAGACACATAATCATCAGATTCTCCAAGGTCAAAAACAAGGAAAAAATGTTAAGGGCAGCCAGAGAGAAAGGCTAGGTCACCTACAAGGGGAAGCCCATCAGACTAACAGTAGACCTCTCAGCAGAAAACCTGCAAGCCGGAAGAGACTGGGGCCAATATTTAACATTCTTAAAGAAGTTACTTTGGCCCAGAATTTTATATCTGGCCACGCTAAGTTTCATAAGAGTAGAAAGATCTTTTTCAGACAAGCAAGTGCTTCGGGAATTTGTTGCCACCAGACCTGCCTTACAACAGCTCCTGAAGAAAGCACTAAATATGGAATAGAAAAACTGTTACCAGCCACTACAAAAACACACTCAAGTACACAGACCAGTGACACTATGAAGCAACCACATAAACAAGTCTGGAAAGTAACCACCTAGCATCATGATGACAGGATTATATCCACACATAACAATAGTAACCTTAAATGTAAATAAGCTAAATGGCTCAGTAAAAGATAAGAGATTGGCAAGCTAAAGAACCAATACCAATTAGAATATTGTCAAAAAACCCATCTCACAAGCAAAGGCACACATAGGCACAAATCAAGGGTTGGAAGAAACTTTACCAAGCAAATGGAAAACAGAAAAAAGTAGGCATTGCAATCCTAGTTTTGGACAAAACAGACTTTAAACCAAAAAAGATCTAAAAAGACAAAGAAGTAATGATAAAGTGTTCAATTCAACAAGAAGAGCTAACTATCCTAAATATATACACACCCAATACAGGAGCATCCAGATTTATAAAGCAAGTTCATAGAGACCTTCAAAGAGACTTAAACTCCCACACAATAATAGTGGGGGACTTTAACACCCCACTTACAATACTAGACAATTGAGACAGAAAATTAACAAAGATATTGAGGACCTGAATTCAGATCTGGATCAATTGGACCTGATGGATATCTCCAGAACTCTCCACCCAAAACAACATACCATACATTCTTAAGCACTTAAACATACCATACATTCTTACAGCACTTACTCTAAAATTGACCACATAATCACAGGTAAAACACTCCTCAGCAAATGCACAAGAACAGAAATCATAAGTTTCTCAGAACACAGTGCAATACAATTAGAACTCATGATTAAGAAATTCACTCAAAACCATACAACTACATGGACAGTGATCAACCCGCTCCCAAATGATTGTGAGCTAAATAATAAACTTAAGGCAGAAATCAAGAAGCTCTTTGAAACTAATGAGAACAAATATACAGCATACCAGAATCTTGGAACACAGTCAAAGCAGCGTTAAGTGGGAAATATATAGCATAAAATGCCCACATCAGAAAGCTAGAAAGATCTCAAGTTAACAAACTAAGATCACAACTAAAAAAACAGGAAAACCAAGAGCAAATAACCCCCAAAGCTGGCAGAATAGAAGAAATAACCAAGATCAGAGCTAAACTCATGGAGATAGAGACACCAAAAATCCTTCAAAAGATCAACAAATCCAGCAGCTGAGTTTTTGGAAAAATGTAATAAAATAGATGGAACATTAGGTAATCTAATGAAAAAGAAGAAAAAAAAAGATTCAAATAAACACAATCAGAAATCATAAGGGAGAGGTGTCTGACCCCACAGAAATACAAACAACAATTACAGAATACTATAAACACATTTATGCACATGAACTATAGAAAAACTAGAAGAAATTAATAAGTTATTGGACACATATACCTTCCCAAGACTGAACCAAATAGACCAAAAATTAGCTCTGAAATTGAGGCAGTAATCAATAGCCTAGCAACCAAAGAAACCCCAGGACCAGACAAATTCATAGCTGAATTCTACCAGAGGTACAAAGAAAAATGGGTATAAATCTTACTGAAACTATTTCAAAAAATTGAAAAGGAGAGCCTCCTCTGTTACTCGTTCCATGAACCCAGCATCATCCTGATACCAATTCATAGCAGAGGCACAGCAGAAAAAGGAAACTTTAGACCAAGCTGTTTAATGAACATTGATGTAAAAATTCTTGACAAAATACAGACTGGCAAACCAAAATCAGCAACACATCAAAAAGCCTATCCACAATGATCAGGAAGGCTTCATCCCTGGGATGCAAAGCTGGTTACACATATGCAAACTATTATATGTAATTCATCACTTAAATAGAACTAAAGAAAAAAAACCACCTATTATCTCAATAGAAAATTCAATTAAATTTATCATCCCTTTATGTTAAAAATTATTAATAAACTAGGCTTTTAAAGAACATACATCAAAATATTAAGAGCCAATATACTGAATGGACAGAAGCTGTAAGCATTCCACTTGAAAACTAACACAAGACAAGGATGCCTTATCTCATCACTCCTATTCAACATAGTATTGGATTTTCTATCCAGGGATATCAGGCAAGAGAAATAAAAGGTATTCAAATAGAAAAAGAGAAAGTCAAACTATCTTTGTTTGCAGACGACATGATCCTATATCTAGAAAATCCCATCATCTCAGCCTAAAAGCTTCTTAAGCTGATAAACAACTTCAGCAAAGTCTCAGGATACAAAATCAATGTGCTAAAATTGCCAGCATTCCTATACACCAACAATAGGCAAGCAGGGAGCCAAATGATGAATGAATTCCCATTCACAATTGTTACTAAAATAACAAAATACCTAAGCATACAGCTAACAAAGGAGTGAAGGATCTCTTCAAGGAAAACTACAAACCATTGCTCAAATAAGTCTGAAATAACACAAACAAATGGAAAAGCAGTCTATGCTTGTGGATAAGAAGAATCAATACCATAAAAATGGTTATACTGCCCAAAGCAATTTATATATTCAATGCTATTCCAATTAAATCACCACTGACATTCTACACAGAATGATAAAAAAAAAAAAAACTATTTTAAAGTTAATATAAAACAAACAAACAAACAGAAAAGAGCCTGAACAGCCAAGACAATCTTAAGCAAAACAAACCTGGAGGCATCACCCTACCCAACTTCAAATTACACTACAGGGCTACAGTAACCAAAACAGCATGGCACTGGCACAAGAATGAACATATAGACCAATAAAACATAATAGAGAACTCAGAAATAAGACCACACACCTACAACCATCTGTTCTTCAATAAGCCTGACAAAAACTATCAGTAGGGAAATGATTCCCTATTTAATAAATGATGCTGGGAGAATTGGCTAGCCATATGCAGAAAATTAAAAGTGGACTCCTTCCTTACATCATATACAAAAATCAACTCAAGATGGATTAAAGACTTAAATGTAAAACCCAAAACTATAAAAATCCTGGAAGAAAACCTAAGAAATACTATTCAGGACATAGGCGTGGGCAAAGATTTCATTACTAAGAAGTCGAAGCAATTGCAACAAAAGCAAAAATCGACAAGTGGGATCTAATTATACTTAAAAGCTTCTGCACAGCAAAAGAAACTATACACAGAGTAAAAAGACAACCTACAGAATAGGAGAAAATTTTTGCAATCTTCCTATCTAGCAAAGGTCTAATATTAGCATCTATAAGGAACTTAAACAAGAAAAAACACACAACCCCATTAAAAAGTGAGCAAAGGACATCAACAGACATTTTTCAAAAGAAGACATACATATGGCCAACAAACATATAAAAAAAGCTCAATATCACTGATTATTAGATAAATGCAAATCAAAACCACAATGTGATACAATCTCACACCAGTCAAAATGACTATTATTAAAAAGTCAAAAAAAAAAAAACAGATGCTGAACAACCATTGTGGAAAACAGTGTAGCTACTCCTCAAAGACCTATAGACATTAAAACCATTTGACCCAACAATCCCATTACTGGGTATATAATCAAAGGAATATAAATCATTCTATTATAAAGACATATGTACGTGTATGTTCATTGCAGCACTATTCACAATAGCAAAGACATGGAATGCTCATCAGTGGTAGACTGAATAAAGCAAATGTAGTACATGGAATACTATGAAGCCATAAAAAACAATCTGCAGACAGCAAATCAGGAAATTCCTTTGGAATATAATGCTTAAGCTGAGTTAGTAAGGACAACCATAGGGGAAATAGAAACACAAAATATTGTACAATGGTGTGAGGAAAGAAAGAAGCCAGCTAAGTATGCAGAACGAGGAATTTGCAGTATTTTAGGGCAGTGTGAAGAGCTTGGAAAGGGGCCTGTGCTGAAATGAAATGAGAAGTTTACATAGTGACTGAATATGTAGTTTCTTCCAGGGAATGTTAAAGAATGTTGACCTTATGCTAAGGAGAGCAGGAAGAGGGTAAAGGATTTGAAGCTCTGATTTTGCAAACATGTTCAGATATACTATTTTAAGAGATTACTCTGGCTATTTTTTTAACAATATATGGTGTTTCCAGGTGAGTTAATTTATGCTGTCACTTAGATTCTTGATTGGCAGCGATGGTGGCTGGTGAAAAGGTTGACAAATTCACAAACCTTTGAAGGGGCATACAGGAAAAAAAAAAAAAGGAAAAATAAGGTAACAAACCCTTTGTGAGAAAAGATATTCAGGAACTTTCTCAGTTTTTGCAGCTGAGATGGAAAAGCAAACAAACACAAATACAAAGATTTCAAGGGCCCTGTAGCTGTGGAAATGAAGAATCTATACTGTTGACCTAAGACCAACAACCAAATCTAGATGGTGAATGAGAAACTGGTTCAAGCATAGCAGGTGATTAAAATCTGGCATCCTCGTCGTATTCAGAGGAATGGAACAGAATGGTAGTTCACCCTTTATCACTGTAGTTGTAGCTTTCAAAGGCAAAGTCTAGGTCATAAGAATCATTGTAGAAAAGAATAGGAATGTATCTGATTATGCAGGACATGCTTTCAACATAGATACTGTGTGGGGCAGCCCCTCAATCAATAGCAGTAGTTGCATAGATTTTTAAATATGTGAACGATCAATGCCCTTTTAGGGTTTTTTTGGCCTGATTTTAGAAGCAGGACTGACAAAGTTAGATTAAGTTAACCTAATTTAAGATTCTTAAATCAGCACTCTTAGCAATAAGGAAGAGCAAACTCATGACATTGATTCTTGTCTTTTTACTAATTTGGTCATTTGACAGTGTGAGGTATTAAATTAAATATATATAAATATGTATATATATATGAAACAGTATCTTCTGCATGGCCACTAGCTGGTATATCTCCATAGTCATTAGGTCTTTGTGACTTAATTCTCTGTGCTTTTTATCTTGTTACTTTTACTAACCTATAATTTCTAAAATTTCTATCTTAAACATATATTGATGCACTCGTTAAATCAAAAATAATCATTGATACCCTTAAGCAATGACGGCTTTATGTTGCTTGAATCTAATTCTCCTCCTGTGAAAAACTAGAAAACCTAGTGGGGTATGGTGAATAGAGATGTCTGTCTGAAGATGTTGGAGAGCTATCAAGGCAGTGAGTTTTCTTAGAATAAAATGAAGAGGTAAAGCAAGAGAGCCAAATTCAATAAGGGGAGCTGCTTTTTTCCTTGAGACAATTATGAATTCTAAAGTAAAAGTGTCATTGTAAAAGCTTAGAGGAAAGCGGACTTATAAAAGCTGGAAGGGAAAAATGAAATTCACGTGACATAAAAAATGAGGCTCCTGATAAACAGCCAACACTTTACTTGGGGCACTAAATGTTAGAAGTAAATGGAGAAAAGACAAAAACAGCCTTCAGAAAGAAGAAAGCTCAGCTTTGACTCAATTCTGTCTCCAGAAAAACTTCCTGCCAAATAAAAAAAAAATATGTCTGGAAGAAGATAAAATCACCCAGAACCTTAATAGTTTTTGGCGTAATGTGTTTTTATATATTTATTTTATTTATTGATACTTAATAGATGTATATATTTTGGGGGTACATGTGATAATTTGATGCATTTATATAATCAAGTCAGGGTCGTTAAGCTATCCCTCATCTCAAATATTTATCTTTTCTTTACACAGGGAACATTTATTCTCTTTAAGCTATTTCAAAATGTGTAATAGATTAAAGTTAACTATAGTCACTTTACTAATCTATTGAACACCAGGGCCGATATCTTCTATATAACTGTACCAATTAATCAACTTCTTTTTATCCCTTCCTTCTCCTAGTCCTTCCAGGCCTCTGATAACCACAAATCCACTCTCTGCCTTTATGAAATACATGTAAGAGTGAGAACATATGATATTTCTCTTTCTGTGCCTGTCTTCATTCACTGAATGTAATGACATCTATTTCTATCCGAACTGCTGCAAATGACAGGATTTCATTCTTTCTATAGCTGAATAATATTCTTTTTTTTTTTTTTTTTTTTTGAGAGGCGGAGTCTCGCTCTTGTTACCCAGGCTGGAGTGCAATGGCGCGATCTCGGCTCACCGCAACCTCCGCCTCCTGGGTTCAGGCAATTCTCCTGCCTCAGCCTCCTGAGTAGCTGGGATTACAGGCACGTGCCACCATGCCCAGCTAATTTTTTGTATTTTTAGTAGAGACGGGGTTTCACCATGTTGACCAGGATGGTCTCGATCTCTTGACCTCGTGATCCACCCGCCTCGGCCTCCCAAAGTGCTGGGATTACAGTCTTGAGCCACCGTGCCCGGCCAGCTGAATAATATTCTATTGCCTATATATATATATATACACACACATATATATACATAAATATATCACATTTTATTTATTCATTTATCCATTGATGGACACTAAGGTTATTCCATCTTTTGGGTATTGTTAATTGTTCTGAAATAAAAACAAGAGTGTAGCTATCTCTCTGATATACAAATATTCTTTTTGTAGGTATATAGCTGGTAGTGTAATTGCTGCTGGATTATATGGTAGTTTTATTTTTAACTTTTAGAGGTTTAATTTTTGGCTTTTGGCTCCATACTGTTTTTCATGGTGGCTGTACTAATTTACACTCCCACTAACAGTGTATGAGGAGTTTCTTTTCTCCACATTCTGACCAACATGTGCTATTCCCTCTTTCTGACAAAAGCCATTCTAACTGGGATGAGATGGTCTCTTACTGTGGCTTTGATGTGCATTTCCCTGATAATTAGTGATGTTAAACATTTTTCATGTATCTATTGGCCATTTGTATGTCTTCTTTTAAGAAATATCTATTCAGATTTTTTGCCCATTTTTAAACTCAATTTTTGTATTGTTTGAGCTCTTTATATATTCTGGTTATTAATCTTTTTCAGATACAGAGTTTGCAAATATTTTCTTCTACTCTGTGGACTGTGTTACTTTTCTTTCTTTTTGTCTTTCTTTCTTTTCTTTCTCTTTTGAGACTTGAGTCTTGCTCTGTCACCAGGCTGGAGAGCAGTGGTGAGATCTCGGCTCACTGCAACCTCCACCTCCTGGGCTTAAGCCATTCTCCTGCCTCAGCCTCCTGAGTAGCTGGAACTACAGGTGCACACCACCATGCCCAGCTAAATTTTGTATTTTTCGTAAAGACAGGGTTTCACCATGTTAGCCAGGATGGTCTTCATCTCTTGACTTTGTGATTCACCTGCCTCAGCCTCTGAAAACGTTGGGATTACAGGCGTGAGCCACTATGCTCAGCCTGGATTGTGTTTCTTTGTTGATTGTTTTATTTGCTGTGCAGAAGCCTTTTAGCTTGATGACACTTTGAATATGTATTTTTGCTTTTGTTGTCTGCCTTTGAGGTCTTACATAAAAAGTCTGCCTGGATAATGTCCTGAAATGTTTCCTTAACAAGTTTTTTCTGGTAGTTTCATGGTTTGGGGACTTAGATTCACATCTTTCATTCGTTTTGATTTGATTTTTGTATATGGTGAGAAACAGGAGTCTAATTTGATTGTTCTGCATATGGTTATCCATTTTACCCAGCACCATTTATTGAAGAGATTGCATTTTTCCTATTGTGTGTCTTGGCACATTTGCTGATAAAAAGTTGGCTGTAAAATATATGAAATTATATCTGGGTTCTCTTTTTGGCACCATTAGTCTACATTTCTGTTCTTATGTCAGCACCATGCTGATTTGAATGCCATAGGTTTGTAGTTTATTTTGAAATCAGGTAGTGTCATCAGTCCAGAATTGATTTGGCTATTCAGGATCCTCTGTGGTTCCATATACATGTTAGGATTGTTTTTACTATTCTGTGAATACTGTCATTGGTATTTTGATAGGGATGGTATTGAATCAGTAAATTACTTTGGGTAGTTTCATCACTTTAACAACATTAACTTTTTGGTTCATGAGCAAAAAATATCTTTTCATGTTTGTATATCCTCTTCAATTTCTTTCATCAATGGTTTATGTTGTTTCATATAGATTTTTTATATATTTGATTAAATTGATTCCTAGTTATCTGATAGTCTTTGTAGCTATTGTAATGAAATTGCCCTTTGATTTTTTTTTTTCAAATTGTTTGCTTTTAGTGTATGTAAATGCCACTCCTTTTGTATGTTGATTTTATACCTTGAAACTTTACTGAATTTGTTTATCAGTTTTTAAGGTTTTTTGGTGGAGTCTTTAGGCTTTGCTAAATGTAAGATCTTGTCATTTGCATACAAGGCTAATTTGACTCACTTCCAATTTAGATGTGCTTGCTTTCTTTCTCTTGTCTAATTGCTCAGGCAAGGACTTGCAGCATCATGTTGAGTAGCAGTGGTGAATGTGGGCATCCTTCTCATGTTTCAGATCTTACCGGAAACGTGTTCAATTTTTCCCAATTTAGTATGCTGTTGGGTGAGGGTTTGTTATATGTGGTCTTTATTATTTTGAGGTATGTTGCTTCTATAGCCAGTGTGTTGAGGGTTTTTAATCATGAAGTATTTTATTAAATGCTTTTTCAGCATCTACTGAAATGATCATATTGTTTT